AAAGTTCATTTCTGAATGTTCTGCAGTCGCTGGAGGCCCATTGAGATAGCATGCAACGTGGATTCACCTACATGGACACTGGTGGGTTAGCACTCGTGTCACTGAGGGTAGAGAAAAAACATGATTTCAGTCACATGAGCACAGACCAGTTCAGAAGCTGGCTTAATGTGAATTAAACTGTTCCATATAAAAAGTCTTCTATCTTCTGCAATACTCTCTTTGACCTGATCTATAGCTTGCCTCTCGCTAAAGTGAGGGTCACTAAGTCAGTCAATAACAAAACCCGCCTTGGGTTCTTCTGATTGAAAGGAAAAGAAAAAAAATCACTATGTTGATGTGGTTCTGCTCTTCATGGATAGCTGCTTGAAAGGGCCACATCTCCACATTTTAAACCTATTTTTTTTCAGAACCTTCAGATTAATGCCATCAGGTCCTGGTGATTTACTGCTACACCTTTCTCACACTGCTCCATAATTTCCTACTTGGATAATTTGTTTCTGTCAAGCCCACACTGTGATTTCTTGTATGAGTAATCTTTCTAAGATCAATTTTCATTTCTTTCCACAGTAAAATCTGGTATAAAGACATTTTGCTTTCCTTTAATTGATTCACTTCCGTATTTGTAATCATAGCAAACATTAAGGTTATTGCTTGTGATGGAAATAGGAGGTCTGCAATTCTTGTGGCATGCAGTGGAACCCATTGGGCCTGATTCTGCTGTCATGTGAGCTTCTAATTACTTTACAGTTCGTAAGTTCAAATAGATTTATAAGGTGTAAATGGAAATTTTGGCACAGTTTTTCAGTATCATCTTTTTTTTACCTCCTCCCCATCCCTTTGGAATTTTTCATCTACCCATGCTGGAAGGATTAAATTTGTTCTGTTGAGGAATACATTATTTCTGCAAAACAAGCTGATTCCTTCTAATGGAATATCTAGGATTGTTTCTAACATTTTCAAAAACATTTAAATTATGAAAGTCCAGATGCCATGACTTACACTCATAATGGCCACAGTAACCGAAACCAGCTATTTTTCTCCAGTCTGCACTACTAGTTTTATGCTGCTATGGTTTGACTGCTTTTGATGCTAAGGGTAGTGTGGCTATACACTGTACAGATATGTAGACAGACCCTAAGAATCAATGTTTCTCTTTTTGTCAATGTTTCTTGCTAATTGAGTGATTTACAGACAGCCCATATGTGAAAACTGAGTGTATTATAGCTCAGTAGCTGAACATTCAGCAGCAAATTTTTGTATTGCCTGACTGAAACCAGGCACATGAACCTGGATGTCTTGCATCCTTCCCAGGTAAGTGTGCTGACTGGATCTCATCTCTCTGACCCAAACACTGCTTTCCTGCAAATGTGTAAGATAAAAAGTTTTGGAAACCATAGGACGAGCAGTTTCTACAAAGATACCTGAAAATATCCTGCACCTTAAAATCAGCCTCTGATGCCACGTTTGAAAGTGCTAGTTTACCAGCACTGATTGGCTCATATGAACTAACTAGTGCTGAGCTGCCCTCCTGTTGCTATGGCATTTTTCATATTACATACTGGCCAAATTTTCAGAATAGCTCAGAGGCTGATTTCAAGGTGCTCAGCATCTACAGTCGATGCTATGTTTTCAGAGGTGTTCCCTGCCTGTTTGACATTGTGGTGGGTTGACCTTGTCTGGCCACCAGGTGACCACCAAGCTGCTGTGTCACTCCGCCTTCTCAACAGAACAGGGGGAGAAAAATAAAACAAAAAGCTTGTGACTAGAAGCTACATACTTGTATCAGTAACAGCACATTCTGTGGAAGGATGAGGTCTCTTGCACCAAATACAACCCAGCTGAGGATAGTTCTAGTCAGAAACATGGCATCACTGGGATCCTGACAGAGCATGAGGGTCTAAGGGCTTCAGAATTCCAGAGGCTGATTTTTGCTAGCTTAAGCTGTACAGAAGGGAAGTTGCTGAATTTTACCTTCATGCTTTAAACATTTAGGCAATATGCTATCCCTGGCCAAGTTAAAATGCTGGCAAAACCAGCCTAAATTCTACTTTTTTTTAATAGAAGTTAGAGATTAGTTCAAGCTGCAGATTTAGATCCAGACCCAAACCACACCAAAATCTGAATATTTAAGTTTAGATGGTGATTCAGTCCATTTTGGCATTGTAGGCCATTTGTGACATGCTGATCCAACAGCACATTTAGATTTTGACATCCACTGCAGTGATATTTGAGGATTATTCATGATTTTTAGCTCGTATTGGGTTTATTTTCTGCAATATTGGGGGTGTGTGGGAATTCATCATCTCAACAAATGCTTGAGTAATTTTGGGGAAAAGTGGCAAGTTATCTAACTAATCCCACTAAATAAATGGTTATCTAAGTAATATATATATGCAAGATAAATAGTAGTAAAGATCTTTACAGATAAGGTGGTACAGGCACAAATGCAATGTCAAATGCAGTCCTAGACATATTTTATACTTTCCCAGTACAAGACATATGCCAGTACAAAATGAGAATGCATTTTTTAAATGGATCCCTCCATTTCCACCAAGGAGAACACCAGTTTAAATTCAAATTACAGTTTGGGCAGAATGTTTTCCTTCTCTTTCTTAGTGTTAGAGAATAAAGGGAAATTTAAATACCCCAAACCTGATGAGCAAATCCAAACTTCGTTCACAAAATTGCAACATTGCAGAAAACTTGAGTGTTTACCATGTTCATGAATGCTTCCTTTTGTTCCCACACCCTGAGGTAGCTTATTAACGACTGTAGTGGCATCATTGCTGTGAATAGTTTGAAACAGTTCAAGTCAATGATCTTGAGCTGGGGTAACATGCTTGGACAAACTTAATTAACCTAAGAGCCTAAACCTTATTGTAAATAAGGCTTGAATATGTCAGTAGCCTCTGTGGACATCACAGAATAAATGTATTATCTAATACAGATATGTGGTGGTATACAGCTATCAAATTCAATACATAATAGTCTAAAATGTTTCAAGTCCTTCAGTAGTATTACTTTAATCTGAAGTATTTTTAAAGGGTACATTTTGAAGGTGCATTTTGAAAGGCAAAATGCACATGTGGCCAGACATATTTTTTAAAATCCAACATGTTGCTCTGTTGTTACATGAGTATTTTATAACTAGTGTAGTGCAATGTCCTGGTGGACAGCAGGATGACCATGAGCCAGCAATGTGCCCTCGTGGCCAAGAAGGCCAATGGCATCCTGGGGTGTATTAGGAGGGGTGTGGTCAGTAGGTCGAGAGAAGTTCTCCTCCCCCTCTCCTCTGCCCTGGTGAGATGGCATCTGGAATAGTGTGTCCAGTTCTGGGCCCCTCAGTTCAAGAAGGACAGGGAACTGCTTGAAAGAGTCCAGCACAGAGCCACAAAGGTGATTAAGGGGGTGAAGCATCTCCCTCGTGATGAAAGGCTGAGGGAGCTGGGTCTCTAGCTTGGAGGAGACTGAGGGGTGACCTCATCAATGTTTATAAATACGTAAAGGCCGAGTGTCAGGAGGATGGAGTCAGGCTCTTCTTGATGATGACCAATGACAGGACAAGGGGCAACGGGTGCAAGCTGGAGCATAGGAGGTTCCACATTAACACAAGGAAAAACTTTTTCACTGTGAGGTTGACAGAGCACTAGCACGGGCTGCCCAGAGAGGTTGTGGAGTCTCCTTCTCTGGAGACATTCAAAACCCACCTGGACGCGTTCCTGTGTGACCTACTCTGGGTGGTCCTGCTCTGGCAGGGGGGTTGGACTAGATGATCTTTCGAGGTCCCTTCCAACCCCTAACATTCTGTGATTTTCTGTAGCTGGCTGAAACATAAGTATTGACAAAAAATGAAATTTGAGTTAACATATGTTGTATTTTTTAGTCAGTAAAGCAATTTTTGTTCTTTATATTCCCTCCCTCTCACTGTGACTGAAAGGACTGAAATGTATTCAGTTGTAATGACTGGGTAAAACTGAAAGAGCTGCTTAGAACCTTGTAAACCTTTCCCCATCTATGAAAAAAGCTATGATATGTTTGTTGAAGCTAGAATCTATGACTGAGACTTAGGTTTCAGATGTTTTCATCTGCAAGTAGAAATACAACTGTCATTAATTGTATTTTCAGAAACGTTGTGAGGGGGTTGGGGAGTAATGATGCAGCGATTGAGGTGTGTTTTGACAATCAGAAAATCTTGCTTTTCATCCTGGTTTTAGGACCGTGAGCATATCAAGTAATATCTATGAACCTCAGGTTTTGATCTATCAAATGAAATTGGTAGCATCTTTTTTTGGTTTTGCATAGCTAAAGATTCTGGAGCAAGTTCTGTCTGGGTGGACTTCACTATTGAAGAAATCCATTGACTTCAAAGGCCTGCCAACAAGGATCAGGGCCTGCAGAAGGTTTTTATGATACTTTAATTAGCATTAATGAGAGCAGGAGTTGGCCTTTAATATTTTTATGGTGGCATAATGTGATGGTAAAATCGTAACAGATATAGACAAAGAATCTAAGAACTCTTACTCCCTCCTCTGTGCTTAACCCAAATGGCTTTAGAGGAACACAGAGCCATGTGTTTCACTTCTTCCTCATCTGTCAAATTTTGAGTGCCTAAGTTTGAATTCTGTGAAAACAGCTATTCACAGCCCTGGAAAAAAAGGTTTCATGTAAAATCTTGTCAAATTAATTATAATACGTTACTTCAATCTCATAGAAGTTTCGTAAATTCATTTTACACATATGCATGTATCCACAAATTTTTAATGACAAGTTCATTGCTCATAGCCTGTTACTGTGTTTAATAACAAGCACTTCCTTATAAGAGGAAATCGGACTGATCTGTGTTTTCTCTGAATTGATTGTATGTGCATATTTAGAAATTGGGGGAGGGGGAAAAGGGAAAATCAACAAAAAAAAAAAAGAAGCGTAGGCCAGTAAATCTTTTTTAAGAATGAAGAAATTACAATGTTTAAACTACATATTTTATTTTTCTTTGCTTTTAGGCAGCAAACAAGCAACCAGTCTTCTCCTGTGGTGCCTGATTTTCTTGACAAACAAACAAAAAAGGTACTTCTGAGTTTATATTCTAAAATAACACCACATTATAACTTCAAATTCCTGAGTCCACAGTTCTGCAATGTGTTCATGGCTGCGTGGCGTAGCCATCTGAACATGAAACCGTCAGTGATGTTTTGAAGTCTTTGAGACAAAAGCCTGCTTGCTAAGAACTTTAGTTCTGTAGAAAGACAGGGAGGTACAGTGAATAAGAGAATCAAAAGGCTGGAAATTTGCTGCTGAGAATAAATGCTAGCTGCTCCCTGAGGTGATTTGTCTGTGCACTTCACTTTCTACAGATGTTAGAGACTCTTTTTTAGTAAGGACCTGAGGTTCTTTGGTAGCACTTTGATATCCTGCTCGAATTCAATATGTGAAATGGAGGAGTCGCTCTGTGACTTGGAGCACAGCATAGTCTTTGAAGTCTGATCCAATTTTTGCTGCTTACCATTTGATGTTGAAAGGATGAAATGGAGAAAATGTACAGTTTTTGCCAGTAACTCTGCTGAGCATATGTAAGATTAAAAAAACAAAATCCCTTGGATGATGTACTTAGAAATGTTAAGCAGATTAATACCTTCCTATAGCTTTTTTCTAAAGATACAAATTAACTATGAGAGGAAATCAGCATATAGTGCATGCTATGATTTAACTGCATGAGGAGAGGGAATAAATAAGTTAAATGGAAAAAGTAAACAAATGTTTGTGACATGGGTGCTAAGTCGGTGTTGCTGAAAGCCACAAGAATCTTGTGTAACTTAAATCTAGCATTAGACATTTCACAGAGTCATAGAATGTAAGAAGTTACTCTCTGTGAGATCACAACTGTAAGTTATCATGGCAGAGTGGAATCAATACATTTCCTATGTGCCTAAACCAGCATTCTTTATTCCGAAGGATTTGGATGAAATTTCTGCTTCTGCGTTTGTTCGACTACATTCATTCGAAATGAATGATTCACAATCAATTAGCCAATCCCAGTCAGTTGCAGACCATCAGTTGTCAAGTCCCTTGAGATCCCATAAAGACGGAGGTAAGAAATATAGTAAAGTAACAGACATCTTTCGTTTGCTATTTGTAAGCTGCGTCTTGTCAGCATGTAACTTGGTTTATATATTGATGAGGTCTTTTAACAATCCTTTGGAAGGCAAGAAACATAAAGGAAGTAACTTTCCTCTACACATTTTCAAGCTGGAAACATAAAGAAGCCCTTAAGTACCTGAATTATAGAGACAGAAGTACAGAGTTTTAAAGTACAGTTTCTACTAAAAATGTCATTAATAATCTTGAAATACACTTTTAATGAAATCAAATTGTGTTTTCAAGAGCTTCAGCTTTCCTTTGTCTTCCAGCCTCAAAAGTAGAAGACAGTAATAAGATCTTTCGTGTTTGGCAGAACGAAGACAGTTTGTTCACACACACAAAATTTCAGTCAGCAACACAGGAAAGTCTCTCATAATTCTACAGTCTATGCAATGTGGGGTTTTATTTTGTTTGCTGATATGTTATTTTTGCCATGGTCCGTAACAGTTTAAAAACTTAAAGAAAAACTTTATGACATTTATTGAGTTTCAACTTTGAATATTCCAGGAAATTGGTACCTATCAGAATACTTTTCTCTGTTATTGTAGTCATTGTGTCCTTGCAAATCTGTGAATACAGGCTTTAATACTGGATCATAGAGTACCTTCGAAGTTTAAGATTAAGTAGGTTGATAATGTGATATCTGTAACTAGAGCCAAAATATAAATGATAATACATTAATTTCCAGGTTGCTACTGAAAATTAGTTGTTTATAATTTTGTGCCATACATTAATATTTCTCGTTAAGTATTTAATGAGACACCTTTTATCTTGTAAGTCTACAAATATTTATCTGAATACTTGAGCCCTTATCCTGCTTTTTATGGGTTTAAACTTTACAGAGTTCAGTTAAATAATTTGCAATGTAAAGGTAAGAAGATAGTATTTATAGGGAGATCCTTCTGTTACAGGAAATAATGCAAATTCAATGTTTTTAGTCTTCTACACAGGCATAATGTGCTGTCCCTGCTAAAACCAGAATAGTATGTGAACACAATAGGTTAAGAAATCCATTATTCTCTCTTCATGCATTTCTGTCCATATGGATTTTGGATCTGTAGTGTGGGACTGCAGGGGATGTGTGCATTACTATCTGAAATTATTACATGTGAAACAATAAACCTGTCAAACAGAAATATCTTCATTGCAGCAAATCCTCTTGAGGAAAGCAGTCAGGGCCAGAATCTGTCATCCTTACTCTCACTGGATATTGTATGTTACCCTGCAACTAGTCTCCTTGAAATCAAAGACTTTGTGTCTGAGGTAAAACAATTAGAGAGAGTAAAAGTGTCAGAATTACACCCTTAGCAAGCATGTCATTCAGAGACATTACCCAGTAATTTAGAGAGGCTTCAAAAAATATGAAGTGATAGAAGAATAGAATTTGAAGAAGAGATAAATGCAACAAACATGTAAATGAATAAGCATGCAAATACAGAGAAGTAAGGAATTTCCTACTTAAGTGTGAAGATATTCAGATACATGATCATATAAATCACACTTCAATGAGTAACTATTAAGGAAGTAAACCTGCTGAAGAATAATAACTTCCTTGGGTGCTTTTAAAAACATGACTTGCATTCAGAAATTCAGATGCTTTCACACACGCTCAGTCTGTATTCAGTCTTACTGTATAGTTTTAAGACAATATTGTTAGACTGATTGTGAAAACCAAGTGAAATAGCAAATATCTCTTTGGAATAATAACACATGTATAAAATACTCACACAAAAAAAGCTGTCTACTAGGTGGTCCAAACAATGCAAAGACTTATTTTTCATAGTTAAATACTATTCTGCAAAGTTATAGATTGATTTTGTATTCTCTTTAAGTTACATTACATGTAGAACTAGACTGTCAGCCTGGTGGTAGTGTTGTGGACCTGGAGGCCAACAGGGAAGGGAATGTGACAGGTTTCTGCACTGGTGTATGACCCAGTTACGAAGCAGTGTTGATGTTTGCTGAAGGAGGGAGTCTATATCCAGGCTTAAGCACAAAGGGAAGTACAGGCTGCTTATTTGTCTTGAGACCTTGGTAGGCGAGGCTGTAGTGCAGTCAAGGGGGGACAAAACACAAAAGGAAAAAATGGTTGATATGACTTTACTTATTTTTGTATTAATCAAGCAGACTATTAATTCTCATTTTGTTATCCAGCTGTTTAATAGCACAGGCTGCCCATTCTCAGCAGTATATTGGCAAAGGAAAAATAGACCGGGAAATTTCCACAAAGACACTTCGAAGACTGTACTCTGTAATTAACGCAGAAACAAAAGCCTCTTTTTCACTTCAAAAGCTTTACATTGGGTCGTAGAAAGACTGAGGAGTGTGGCCAAACTGCATGCAGTGCAAGTTAAGTGCATGCATGCACTATGGTTGCATAGAGTCACAGGACCTGGCTCTGCACTGCCCGGGTGTTCCCCTGGGCTCTGCCAGAGTGGTGAGGCAAGACTATTATCAAAGCCAAGGATTCCCTCCAGTGTCTCCAAACTGCCTGGGCAGAGAGGAGACTCCAGTCAATAGTAACAATTAAGCCAGAAGTTAATTATTCTAGTCACAATAAAGTAGTACTGAAAGAATCAAAATAATATAAATATAATCTCCAGAGGCCAAGCAGTGGTGTTCTGTTAGATGAGATAGATAGTGAGAATGTTTTAAATTATTAATGAGAAGTGAGTGCTTCACAGGGAATTGACCAATGTAATTTGCCTCAAAAGTAAATATGACAGATTTTCTGAGGTGCAAAGGATATTTGTTTGTAAAACGAAAGCTAATAGTATCTCTGGATTGACCAGAGGACAATGTAATTCTTAATGCTAACACAGACATTTTGAACAACTGAGAAAATACGCAGAGTCTCTGGCCATGGACATTGTCTTACAGGAGAACAGTATATGTGTTCTGATGATGTTCACTTTATGCCTTGCACCTCACACTGTTGTCTGCAATGCTGAAACTTTGTGAGACGTAGAGGAATTTGCCACGATTCTTACAGCTCTGGAATTATGCAATCTGCAGTGTCTGTAGCCACAGGCTGAGGCTGAGATAGTGAAACTTGCACTATAGTTGTAAAAGTCAATAGGCCATTTCCAATATAGCCTTTGATATTAAATTTCTCACTCTTTTATATTCTCAAAACTAGTGGAAATTAGGACCTGGCGTGTTTCAAGGTGGACTCCCACTAGTCAGTCATTTTGAATGTTTTCCTTGCAATATATATTTTTATTTTTATGTTGCTCATTTTTCTCTTCCTTTCTGATAGATCAGTCATAAAAATGTGGTTTGGTGAATGTGGCTGTATTGGGTTTGGTGAAACATGTGAAGGTAGTCACTGGTTTTTTGCACTGATGGAGGGCAAGTGGATAATGAAATATTTTAAGTTATTACTTGATGGGGAGGAAGGCTGCTGCCAACCTCAGACAGTACTGTGGACAAGTTTTAGTAAGGGGCATTGCGGGCGTGTGAGCCATTACTCCCAAAAAGTTACTCAGCGGTTGTCATCACACAGATGTTATTTACAGGTTCATCACCCTAAACAGGAAATTTAAAATAACAATGACTTCATTAATTGTTAGAACTTAACTCCAGTTTTAAAGAAGTGATACAACTTTAATTCTATCAGGACCATAATTGTGTTAAAACACCCAAGCCACAGAGAATATACTTAGGTAATTTGTCTTTGCTTTAGAGTAGAGTTTTCTTTGAGTCAGACTTTGTTATTGAAAATACTCTAAGCTGCCTCAATCTCAGCCACAGAGTACAGTCTTGATTTGATGCCTTGTGCTTGCAAGTGAAACATGCTTAAATATAGGGAACCATCTTACTCTACATGATAGTTTAACACTGTGGCATAATTTTAACTCTGATCTCATTTAGTTCCTAGTTGTACATTGTTTTTTAAAAAAAGGTAACAGCTATGGCAAAGCAATAATCATTAGTAATTTGGAAATGGGGGCACTTTTTATCCTTTGATTCACAGAAAGTCAGTATCCCAGTGTGACTGTAATAGTTGTTATGGTAAAGATTAGGCAGTATTTCACACAAGATGTGGTATCAAGATCTGGATGTCTTGTAACCAAAGATGCCACTTTGCTTTCTGCAAGTGGGAGAGAGATCAATCCAAGGCATTCAGCTGTTTCTCTCTGTGTAACTCAGCTTCCTGTTTGATTCCATTATAGCAAACCTTCCTTTCTAAATGAAAAGCAAAACCACTGCTGCATAATGTAGTGTGAAATGCTGCATGGACTTTCAACCGGTTGTCATTGGCAGATGGGATGATACTGACACATGGATACCATTAATTTCAGAATCGTATCATTCAGGATTTTAAGTGAAACAATTTGTAATCTATTAGAATTATTTTTGGTTATTTAAGCAGGAGTTTCGTTTCATCATTTTTAAGCCCCCCACTGAGACTAATTTTACATTGAAGGAATGTAAATCATTAAAAACTTGACTGTAGTCAGTAGAATCATAACAGTGAGCAGAATTGGGTCTCTTGGTTATAAAAAATGGACATTAAAAATTTCCTACATATCTGGGGGTTAGGGTTTGTTGGGGTTTTGTTTGAGTGGGATGAGTCCGGTTTCAGTTGGTCATTCTTTTGCAAATAAAATAGCAATGATCATGTGACAGTCTGAATGTTACAGGAAACACTGAAAAGTCCAAGGTAGTATGACACAGTAGGATCTGATTGTACTGAGCATGCTGTAGCTATGTGTGAAGCCTATGAGATCTCCATAATATTTTCTACTACGTACCACACTGTGGCAGAGAAACTGCTCTGCCTCAGGCAGAGAAGGTGCTGTTGTGGGGTGTTGTATAATGAATTTCCATTAAAAGGATCTTTCTACAGTAGTGTTCTGTGGCTTTGGGGACAAAATCTGACTGGGCGCAAGCAGGAGAAAAAGTAGCTGCTTTTTCTTTTTTCCTTAAAAGAGTATCAATGGTTAC